TAGTCTATAGTCTAGTCTAAAGACTATAGACTAGACTATAGACTAGACTATAGACTAGACTATAGACTAGACTATAGACTAGACTATAGACTAGACTATAGACTAGACTATAGACTAGACTATAGACTAGACTATAGACTAGACTATAGACTAGACTATAGACTAGACTATAGACTAGACTATAGACTAGACCAACGGTTCCCAAAAGGGGGTCGCGGACCCCTAGTGGTCCGTAGCAAAATCCTAGGGGGGTCCGCGAAGACGAACGAAAAAAATCATGAATAAGAAATATTCTCTATATGTTAGAAAATATTAAAAATATCTCCAAATTTTTCATAAATACTAAAATACAAAATTTTTATTCAATAATCCCAGATTTGTTGGTGACTTTTTGAATTTTATTGTTTCGGTTGTTTATCAGGATGAAGCTATGTCCTACAAATTTATTGTTTCACTTTTATAAAGTAAAGTATTACGTGATTTGTAATTTTTATAAATGTATATGTATCGAAATAAATGTTTTTATATCAGACGGATAATGATTGCCTTAGAATTAAATACTGTTACTGGTATCCCGGAATATGAAGTTAGGTCACATTTCATAATATTTTTTTAAATTGTAAGCAAAAGTGTTAATCTAGTTAATTTTAAATATAAATATTCCATTCCGACGTGATACACAGATTTTAACTTCATTTTGTTGTCCAATATTATTAAATCAACATCAGAAAATTCATAGCGTTTTGCGTAAATAGTCAAAACCACGCAGTAAAATAATTCGTAGGTATTTTAAAATTCAAATTTAAGATCCAAATTCACAGTACATTCGCAAAGAGTTCAGGTCATATTTCATGTGGGTAACGCATTCCGCAACAACATCGAAGAAGTCTAACTTTCACATATTTTCCCGAAAACTTAGCTTACATACTCAGCTCACTCCTATGCAATCGCAAAAAATTTAGAAACATGACTCTTTAAGCACATGTCGACAATACTTGATAAAGAAACCTTTTCGCCACCTTGACGAGAAATGAACATGAAGGCTCTCACGATCATAAAATTAACATCATGTTAGAAGTCATTCTATATTTAAAACATGCAATTGAAAACATTTCCGAACATCTCAATGTACGGGAATATTTATAGGGTTTATGGACCAGGACTAAGACAATTTTCGAATGAACAATTATTTATAACAATAAGATATCAAAATATGTATGGGGGTCCGTGAAATTAAATAAATTCCTCAAGGGGTCCTCGAAGTAAAATACGGTGGGAACCGCTGGACTAGACTATAGACTAGACTATAGACTAGACTATAGACTAGACTATAGACTAGACTATTAGACTAGACTATAGACTAGACTATAGACTAGACTATAGACTAGACTATAGACTAGACTATAGACTAGACTATAGACTATAGACTAGACATAGACTAGACTATAGACTAGACTATAGACTAGACTATAGACTAGACTATAGACTAGACTATAGACAAGACTATAGACTAGACTATAGTCTAGTCTATAGTCTAGTTTATAGTCTAGACTATAGTCTAGTCTATAGTCTATATTGTAGTCTATATTATTCTTTTACAACCCTGTGAAATTTCATTTTTGGATCTGTTTCTATTACCTTTTTCTTTTATTCCAAAAAAAAAAATCATGTACCACCACCAGCAGCACCAAACATCTCCTAAAGAAGATGAGGATATAGATGATGCTGGAAAAAGAACACGAAACTTTCTTTCTGGTTTAACCAGTAGTAATTTTATACCGTTTCTTTAAAATGTTTTCAGTTAAAACTTTTTTCTCTTGCACCAAAGTTGGTCCGTCTTTATCGTCTTATTTTTTCGTAACATACACAAGAGGATGTCTTTGCAGTTTTATAGTTTTTTTTTTTTATATGTTCAATGTGAAGAATATCACACAAATACCATTTGGTTGTTAACCTCATTCAAACCAAGGAAAAAAAAAACATTGCTAAGAAAAACTAGTAAACAGCAACAGTAACAAATTACCTGTTTGAAAATTGTTTAAATTTAATGGTAGAAAGAAAAAAACTTTAGTTTGATCAAATGGAAAAAGTTTTTAAATAAAGTTGGATCTCTCATTGAATAGTGCTACCAAACTACAATCACTATTAAATGGCAAATTATTAAATTCCAAAAGATGATTAGAGAAAATTGGGGACAAAACGAATGGAAAACTGTTTATAAATGAGTTTACAAATTGGCCTTAAAAACAATTTTTTTAAATGTTTTGATAAATAAACAGAAATATTAAAATAATCTGTTTTTCATTAAACCAAAAATCGTAAATAGAAAACAATATTAAAACAAATTCAATTCCCTGCATACTAATCTGTATTAAATAAATAAAAAAAAAATTAAATAACAATTGTATTCATATGAGTATTAACAGATACACTCAGGTTTAGATTCATTCATATAGAATAATATGAAGCCTGATTGATTACTTATATCTATAGAATAGACTACATCTAATCTGTAGAATAGAATGAATTCTAATGAATTCGGATTTGACTCAGTTCTAGTTCTGTTCTAGTGTTAGTTCTAGTTCAGTTCTAGTCACTTCTAGTTCAGTTCTAGTTTCAGTTAGCTTTAGTTCAGTTCTAGTTCAGTTTAGTTCAGTTCTAGGTCAGTTCTAGTTCAGTTCTAGTCAGTTCTAGTTCAGTTCTAGTTCAGTTTCTAGTTCAGTTCTAGTTCAGTTCTAGTTCAGTTCTATGTTTCAGTTCTAGTTGAAGTTCTAAGTTCTAGTTCGTTCAGTTCTAGTTCAGTTCTAGTTCAGTTCTAGTTCAGTTCTAGTTCAGTTCTAGTTCAGTTCTAGTTCAGTCTAGTTCAGTTCTAGTTCAGTTCTAGTTCAGTTCTAGTTCAGTTCTAGTTTCAGTTCTAGTCAGTTCTAGTTCAGTTCTAGTTCAGTTTCTAGTTCAGTTCTAGTTCAGTTCTAGTTCAGTTCTAGTTCAGTTCTAGTTCAGTTCTTAGTTCTAGTTCTAGTTCAGTTCTAGTTCAGTTCTAGTTCAGTTCTAGTTCAGTTCTAGTTCAGTTCTAGTTCAGTTCTAGTTCAGTTCTAGTTCAGTTCTAGTTCAGTTTCTAGTTCAGTTCTAGTTATTCTAGTTCAGTTCTAGTTCAGTTCTAGTTCAGTTCTAGTTCAGTTCTAGTTTCATTTCTAGTTCAAGTTCTAGTTCAGTTCTAGTTCAGTCTAGTCAGTTCTAGTTCAGTTCTAGTTCAGTTCTAGTTCAGTTCTAGTTCAGTTCTAGTTGTCTAGTTCAGTTCCTAGTTCAGTTCTAGTTCAGTTCTAGTTCAGTTTAGTTACTAGTTCTAGTTCATTCAGTTCAGTTCTAGTTCAGTTCTAGTTCTAGTTCAGTTCTAGGTCCGTTCTAGTTCAGTTCTAGTTTCAGTTCTAGTTCAGTTCTAGTCAGTTTCAGTTCAGTTTAGTCAGTTCTAGTTCAGTTCTAGTTCAAGTTTCTTAGTTCAGTTCTAGTTCAGTTCTAGTTACAGTTTAGTTCTAGTTCAGTTCTAGTTTCAGTTCTAGTTCAATTCTAG